CAGAGAGAGAGAGAGAGAGAGAGAGAGAGAGAGAGAGAGAGAGAGAGAGAGAAAGAGAAAAGGTGAGAGGTACCTAGGAAGTCAGGGGAACCGTACTATGCAAATGACAATGGAAGAGGGAGAGGCATTGTCCTATTGATGCATATTATTATGTTTATTATTATTTTTTTAATGACCTTTAAACAATCTAAGTTAAAGAAGCAAAAAGGGGTCCATGAGCGGAATTCCCATCGCTTATATAATAATAAACAATATAAATCACTGCAGACGCGCATTCTAGACCAACGACAAGGCTTGGAGATAGCCTGTTTTGGAGCACTGTTGAAATAAGCACACTCTAATTAAGTCATTCATACAACATTTTTTATCAATTTTACTTTTTCAGTTGAAACTTAAGTCTGCTTACAGCTTTTTTTTTTAGTTCATGAGTTAACAGGCTACAAGAGATTCGTTGCTGAATCCGAAAATAGAGAATGCAAAATCTGAAAGATTAAGATGAGCGTTTTAGGGCGCCCTCCACAATTTGATGACTTTTGATATTTTGTACTTGCTATTAAATCCATAGTCATGATATCTTATAATAGTAGGCCTATCTCTTTGATCTGCTCTGCTAGTTCGTCAGCTTAGTTGGTTTTCCACTGGGTTTTGTCAGAGTGGATGCTACTGGATCGAATCCCCATCGGAGCTTCTGCTTTGTGAACTCAGATTGTTCACCACCCTTGACATTTTGGCTTGGTCCGTTCGAAGATGGACGGGGATTCCTTTCAATAACGTTACGCAGTACTGAGAAAAGACAAAACCTATACCATTTCGCATTTTTTTTCAGTTTTGCATTTCTTCTGTGCTGTGCAATCTTCACACCTTCAACCCCCCCCCACCCGAGCTGAGAGAGCTACATCTCATAAGAATATAATCGATATAACGGATATAATCGATTAAAATTCTCTTCTCTTCTTATTTCTCCTTCTGTTTTCTTCGTCTGTCAGTTTTATTTTATTTTCAACAGTATACAACTTCTTACTAATGTTTCGTCAATGTGGATCTCCTTTACAGCCTGTCCATGCAAAACCCTCAGTGCCAGACAAAGGCCGCTATACGTAATGCGATCAACCTGCGCGCCAGGGAAAGAAGATTGGACTTTGGGAAAAAAGCGG